TGCACACATATACATATATAAGTATACAAGTATGTTCACATCTATGCTCATACCGTTCAACAATCTCCAGGTGTATAGCTGCCACGAAGTCAATAGTGGGGAGTGGGAGTTGGCAGTGGCGGGTGCGAATACCTATGACTCGCTGCTGAACTCGGGAGATATCGCAGAGCTTCTCAGTAAGATCAGGATCTTCGCTCGCATGTCCCCCGAAGGCAAAGTATCTGCTGTCGAGATGCACAAGAAGGTACGTAGTGGGTCCAAGTTATATTAGAGACTGGTAGTGAGGTTATAGTAATAGTACTGTTTGTGTGTTTATACCTATGGATGGGGTCTGATTGTATGTTTCGGTCGGGACAGTAGTATACCACTCCAGGGTAGTGCGCCACAATGCAAGAGAAGGCTTGTGAAGGAAGATACACTTCAACTTTGTGTTACATGATATCGAAACAATGTAACGTTGACTACGTCTAGGTACACACAGACTGGGACCACCACAGGCATGTGCGGTGGCCGAAAGAAGCATTTTTACCCACACTACTGCTAAATGATACACCCATATGTATATACATACATACATACATACATACATACACACACACACACATACACACACAAACACACACACACATACACACACACACACATACACACACACACACATACACACAGACACACACACACATACATACACACACACACACACACACACATATATATATATATATATATATATATACTTTGCGTGCATATATGGAGTTGTGCACGTTTCAGACATACTTTAATTGGAATCATTACAAGCGTGTGCGGTGACCTACGACTCAATACACCTCTATGTACTTCGATTTACATATGTGCTCAAGCTGAACATGCGGGCAATGCTGCACACCCACAGATAGACCCACATGCATGTTATTGATGACATCTCCTTCCACACGGGCTAGCATTGTCACAGGCATGTGCAGTGGCAGAGGACACTATCCAACACATACTTCTACGCTGATAAATGTCACAACCGTACAACGCGGTACATGTATACATAAGCATACGCAAACACTTACATTGATACTGGACACTTACATTGGTACTGGCATCTACTTGAATACAGGTTGGCACTATCACAGTCACGTTTGGTGACAGGACAGGATCCAGCACACACCATTTCACTTTAACAATCTTCGGTTACGTACGTTACGCACAACTTTGTGCAGGCACAGATCCATACCCACTGATATATATGCGTATATCTCCCTGTGTATAGGCTGGCATTATCACAGGCATGTGTGGTGACGGTGGGAACGATGCCGGTGCCCTCCGTGCGGCCCATGCGGGGATGGCATTAAGGTAAGACTGTAAGTGCTGTGTAACTATGGTTAGTACTTGATAGCAGGGCGAGTGCTTCTTATCCCTATAACTGTAAGTGTACGACGCACACCCATTATCAGGGGTATACTAATTGAGATGCCGTTCATACCACAACCACACAGTGATGCCGAGGCGTCTATTGTGTCACCGTTCACCTCCAAGTCGAAGTCGGTGCAGAGTGTGGTGGATTTGCTGCTAGACGGACGTGCCTGTCTGCACACCTCGTTTGCAATGTACAAGTTCTTGGTGTCGAATGGCCTGGTGTTGTCGCTGACGAAGCTCATTATCCTCTTCAAGGGTGTGCTGGTCTGTATCTTCGGTAAGTGGGTGTATCATACTCGTAGGTGGTTGTAAGTGGGTGTATCATACTCGTAAGTGGTTGTAGGTGGGTGTATCATACTTGTAGGTGGTCGTAGGTGTGCGTATCATACTCGTAGGTGGTTGTAGGTGGGTGTATCATACACGTAGGTGGTTGTAAGTGGGTGTATCATACTCGTAAGTGGTTGTAGGTGGTGGGTGTATCATACTCGTAGATTGTCGTAGGTGGGTGTATCATACTCGTAAATGGTTGTGGGTGGGTGTATCATACTCGTAGGTGGTCGTAGGTGGGTGTATCATACTCGTAGGTGGTTGTAAGTGGGTGTATCATACTCGTAAGTGGTTGTAGGTAGTGTATTATACTCTTAGGTAATTGTAGGTGGGTGTATCATACTCGTAGGTGGTTGTAGGTGGGTGTATCATACTCGTAGGTGGTTGTAGGTGTGGGTGTATCATACTCGTAGGTGGTCATAGGTGGCTGTATCTTACTTGTAGGTATTGCTATCATACTCGTAGGTAGTTGTAGGTGGCTGTATTTTGCTTGTACGTGTTTTAATCTTACTTGTCGGGGAAGTGGTGGACATGTATATCCTGTTATGGTGTACTGGCCTGTGTATTCTGTAGGTGGCTGTATCTTTGATGTCTTGAGAGTGTTCTTTATGTAGCACGTATGAGGTTTCTGGGTGTACATTCGTAGGTTGTGGATTGGGTTTGGATAAACATAATATGATTTTGGAAACATGCGAAAATGTGTTATTTGTATGGAGGCTCTATGTAGCCGACCAGAAAATATCAATGTGTGATACGTGCTGATCTATATAGAGTGCCAAAAGTGTGAAAAATCGGAATCAAACGTTTATGTGTGCGTATTTGCGACATGCCCATAGTATGTATATGTGTGTGTATCTGTATACGTTTTTGTTTATGTATACGTATGCCTGCGCTTGAGGGCCGTGATACTTATAGTGCGGCATCTGCAAATTCTCGTCCCGTAAAATTATAGAGGGTGAATGCACGCTAAGCTTCTCAGCTTGGCTTATATATACCCCATCCAACATACACAAATCCTCCATACTGGGTATATATACAAATAAACCTATAACATACTCAAATATGTTGTATGTCGTATGTTTATATATACAAGTCTGGCGTGAGAACCCTTCTCTCACGCTCCTATGCGTATGCACCCAGGCTATCTGATGATTGATCTGGCTGCAACGCTAACTCTGGGCTACACAATGGTGCTGGCTCGGCCCCCGGAGTCGCTCAAGCAGATACGACCCACATCTAGTCTTTTAGGGTATGTGTACAGGGTTTACCATGAACTCGATCGACGTGAGGTTGTTCTGTGTGCTAACGTATACCTGGGTGTTCTAGTGCAATGGTGGCCACCACGCCCTGTGAGGCGTCCGGGGGGTATGTGGACGGTGCACTCGTTTGTGCATATCAGTATATTCAAGTACCATCACCTAGAGAAGTGCTTTACACAATGGTGTGAGTATTGTCCCATGGATTGCCTGCGCAGATACGACCCACATCCAGTCCAGTGGGGCTCAGATCATCGCGTAGTAGATGTGTTTATATTTGCTTGTATGACTAATCGGTTCACACAATGATAGCCATTACGTCATGCGAATTGCTCGCACAAGTATGACCCACACTCAGTGTAGTACAGCATATGGTTTATTAGCAAATGTGCTCGATATATGTTAGTCCACTGTGGTATGTTTTGCCTAGTGTATGCGTGTTTCACGTGTAATTATGTGTATATCTTATTTGGTATTTTGTACACTCTTTCACGCTTGCTCATACTATTGCGTACTACTACTACTAGACTCATCGCCGTATCCTCTGTACTGAGAGTGCTGCCCATCGATTCATATGCATGTACTATTGTACATGAATCTATTTTACTCAGTATTCTATTCAATTGTTCACGCGTACTCATACTACTGTTACGTTTACTAGGCCCATCACCGTGTTCTCTGTACTGAGAGTGCTGCCCATCGATTGATATGCATATATTATTGTACATGTATCTATTTTACTCAGTATTCTATTCAATTGTTCACACGTACTCATACTACTATTACTTTTACTAGGCCCATCACCGTGTTGTATTATTGTAAATGTATCTATTCTACTCAGTATTCTATTCAATTGTTCACGCGTACTCATACTACTATTACGTTTACTAGGCCCATCACCCTGTTCTCTGTGCTGGGAGTAGTGCTCATAGACTTCGCCATCACTATAGTCTGTCTCATGTATGCGATGTCTCTCGCAAATTTTGTGCCGTGGCCGTCAGAGATTGCTCTGGGACGCACCTGGTAAGTCAATAAATTCATCGCATGGCGTTGGTGTAGCCATGACTACAATTGTAAACCGAGGCTTTGGCTGTGCATTATGTATGTAATAATTTTGTGCTATGTGTGGGTGATGTGTGTGGTTTCTCGTGACTTTGTGGCTCAGCATAGCCGAGTGTTTGGAGACCCACTTGTCATTCGGAAAATAGGAACTGGCCAGGTCTGAAGAGAGCTGCTTGATGGCACCATATGTTCTCTGATCGCACGAGGATTATGCCCGCTCACATACAATCATATTGCAGCACTTCGCGGGAACAAACTCGATTGTCAGAAATAAGCATCCACTCACCGTTTGATGTTTAATGTTATTCCGGACTCAGGTGGTATCTGAGTGATAATTGGGAAGCATCCATTCTGTACTTCACCCAAATGGGTGCGTATTTGACCAATGCCCTGGCCTTTTCCTTGGGTTCGTATTTCCGCTTAGAAATCTACCGCAATATCTGGCTCATGATCGACGTGGCGGTTCTCTATGCCATCCAGGTAAGCGTCTACTGCAGATATACAAATGCGTCCTAAACTTTAAAACCCTAAAACCCCAAACCCCCTTTTCTATATGTTGTTAAAAAACGCTATGTATTTATATATGGCATCTGATTTTTTTTTTGATTTTTTTTTTGCCACATATCACTTCAGCTTCTGTTCCTACTGATGGCGCCTAATGCATTCACGGACGCAATGCACGTAGCGAGTATAGCTTTCAACCGTGTTGGAACAGACAATCCCATCTGGCAGGAGTGGCAGAGTCTGGGCAACCCTACATCACCTGGAATGAGTTTCTGGGAGAGGTATGCATGTACATACATAGTTAATTCTCGTACGAACGCACTTGTCTATAGAACTAGGATTCACAGTACATACATGTAATTGAAACATAGCGACTTTTTATCACAATTTCGCATCTCCTACAATCCTAATCCATTACACTCACAATATCCACGGCATTGATTTCCCATACAGATTTGTGGTGGCTGTGCTCTTGCTGTTAGGGACAGTTTTGGCAATGTGCTACCAGAGGTTCGTAATCGATGGTCCGGTGGGGCGATTCTTCCAGAAACGAGCGCCCTCTGATAGACCCCGACTCAACCCCTAGATCCCTATCGATAGTCTGTATTTTGTTAACAGGGTGTAAATCACAGTAAGAATTTGAAATAAAAAGCTACTTTTTCTGTTTTAAAACCCGTGGCTTCACTGACTTGATATATTAAGTGGCTGGATATACGCGGCTATAAATACGTACGTTAAGGTGTAAATGTACTGAAAGTCTGTCTATTGTGCCGACCTAAGCTATATATATATATATATATATATACTANATGCATACATACATACATATATATATATATATATATATATTTATATATACATATATATATAAATATATATATATATATATATATATATATATATATATATATATATATATATATATATATATATATATATATATATATATATATATATATATATATATATATATATAGTATATATATATATATATATATATATATATATATATATATATATATATATATATATATATATATATATATATATATATATATATATATATATATATATATATATATATATATATATATATATATATCCGCAGACACAATATTATTATAGA